GCATCAAAATTATATTTTTGTTTATCATGCTTCTTTTAAATCTTGGTTTGTCCCAATAATTCCATCTAAGGCAGTGGTTCTCAACCTTCCTAATAACCTTTAATACAGTTTTCATGTTGTGGTGACCCCCAACCATAAAATTATTTTTGTTGCTACTTCATAACTGTAATGTTGCTACTGTTATGAATCGTAATGTAAATATCTGATATGCACCAATGGTCTAGACGACCCCTGTGAAAGGGTCGTTTGACCCCCAAAGGAATCGCGACCCACAGGTTGAGAACCGCTTACCTAGCTGTTAGCCAATCAGTCTCCAAGCCCTGGTCCCGACCACAGAGACTGGCTCTGAGATGGTCTCCGTTTTTCTCAAATTTTTATTTATTGATTTTTTAAAAAGAGGGAGAAAAATAGTGATGTGTTGTTCCACTTATTTATGCATTCATTGGTTACTTCTTACATGTGTCCCAACCAGGGACCTGCAACCTTGACATATTTGGATGATGCTCTAACCAACAAAGCCACCCAGCCAGGGCCTGCAAAATAATCTTTTAAACTACAACCCATGAGAATTAAAATTTTTGTGAAATTATATAAGCAGACAAAATACAATTGGATTTGGCGACTGAGAAGACTGCTCTAATCCATACTTCATTGTTGATCCATCAAAAATGGCATCCATATGTAATACTTTCAACAATACAGATTTAAAATAAAATAGCCTTAATTTTTTTAATTGAATTACTTTTTTTGTTTGGTATATATATTTTAAAAAGTCTAACTATTAAATCTGACAGCACTCCACTGCTTTAAAAAAAATGTTTGAAAAACTACTTAACCTGACCTTGCTTTCAAACAATGGTATAGCCAAGCCATATGATTTGGCTGGATTTTTAAAAATTCTTTTTTGTTTGATTTTTACTTTTTTTTGTTTTTGGTGTGTGTGTGCGTGTGTGTGTGTGTGTGTGTGTGTGTTTGGCTGGGTTTTTTTTTTGTTTGTTTTGTTAATAAGTCTATTCCAGTGTTCAAAAAAAAAAATCCTTTAATATAGGCTCTCTTAACTCTCTCCTTGCCAACAAGTCTATTTTCTCCCAAACTTAGAAACTCACCTTACTTCCTACAAAAGTCCTAGAATTGCAATTCTGATTTCCGCATCAACGAACAAGGAATCAAAACAAGAAACACGGGTTCCTTGATCAAGACCAACTTTTGTGGAAGCTTTTCCCTCTCGCCTGAACACTGCACCTCCACCTATCCATCCTTTAGTTCTCGGGTTAAGGTCTTATGTTGCAGGAAACTTCAATTTCTCAAATCTTAGAGTCCTTTTCTCCGTGCTCCCACCACACCCTGAACTTCCCCTACACCTCAGAACTCATCAACCAACCAGAACCCAATTGTAGCAATTTTCTCTGTTGCTCCAGCCAGCACCTGGCTGGTAGTAGCGCAACAAGTATTTGTTAAATCAACTGAAAGCAGATAGTAAATCCTGTCACCATCTCCATTTCATAAGAACCATACAGTATAAGATAAGCTCTACTAGTTAGTTTATAGATGAGGAAACTAAGGTACAGAGGGAAATTAAGTAGCTCAAGATTCCAAAACTAACAAATAACAGAAACTAGAACCTGGGACCCCTTACGCCAGGACCTATTTGCCCCGTACTACGCCGCCCCATTTAAATTACAGGTCCTACTTGACAACCCAGATGAGGCAAACGAAAATGCTCAGAGTAAGGAATTTCTGGAAAGACAATTTGGCTTGCCCCCTCTCTCCAGAATCTGTAAGAGAACTGGCTCCCGGGACAGACAGTCTTACAAATTCTAATGACAGGAATCTGGCGTTTTCCTGAGGGGGAGGGGGAAGGGGTATGGGGGCGACCCCATCAGCCTGACACTCTATTCCAGAAACTAAACTATAAAACCAAAAGTCAAAAATCGGTGCCTAGTGACCAACAACAGCCCTCTTATCACATTACTTCATTCTCATCAACTTTTTTAGCCCTCCCTGCTTCCGGGTTCGCTCGGCCCGTTCACTTCACAGAGCTCCTTCCCGCCTCGGACCCGAACCGGTCTTACTGCACGATCTCCTCACTGACATCCAGGCCAAAAGTTTTCCGCAAATGCTGGGTACACCAGCCCACCAACTGCTCCCGGGGCGCCGCCCCAGCCACCGCCATTTTCCCCAGCCGGAACCAGCTGGGCTGAAAAAGCCTGGAGTCCTGCGCAGGACCAGTTCCCTTCGCAACAG